TCCCTGTGACTGATGAGCTGGTACAAAGCACCGGGGTTCTGTGGAGCTTATTTGAGAAGTGGTCGGTTGCTCACCTTGTAATAAGAAGTGGTTTTGTGGGGTTGTGGTTTTTTTTTTTTTTTTTCTGCACCACATGTAAGACAAACTGTTCTTCCTAACACCGAACAGATGGTTCATAGCTTCCAGTTTGTCAGATTTTCTCTCTCACTCCTACTGGGAGCCTGACTGAGCTGCAAGTAGTTGAAGGGTTTGCTTGAGCAGAATACAAATTCTTGCATGCTCTCACAAAAAGTCTCTTCAGCTGACGGCTGTTAGATAATGCTGTATATAAGCCCTGACTGCACAGTTTTATTCCTAGTAGATCTGTACACATGAGTTTATTTGAGAGTCTTAGCAGGCTCCTGACTACAGTGTGTAGGAAGAACGTGGTCTCATGACCTGGTATCAAAGAAGTGGCAGAGAATGTTCCATTCTAGAATCCTTTCAGCAGCCTTATTGAAAACAGCTACTGAAGTCAAAGTAATAGCTAAATTCATATAGATTCAGAACAAGCAGTGAAGGTCTTAAAAGTTATGGTTTGAGATCATGGTGTGACTTTTGGGGGAAAGTGACTTCCTCAAACATATGTTTTAAGCTTATTCCTCCTCAGTTCAGAAGCATTTTTTTTTCTTTTTTGGTCTAAGCAGCAGATGAGTTATAAAGTGACAGATGATCCTTGCACTTAAGAGCATATGCTGCTCCTTAATTGCCTTCTTCCAAAAGTGATACTTGCTAACAAGTGATATAGCATTGCACAAAACCCCAGCTAGACAATATTAGTACAATTCTCATGAAAACACTGAATTCCTAGTTCTCTCTTCTGCAGGAGTTTGACAAGAAATACAATCCCACTTGGCACTGCATTGTGGGAAGAAACTTTGGCAGCTACGTGACTCATGAGACCAAGCACTTCATCTACTTCTACCTCGGCCAAGTCGCTATTCTTCTTTTCAAGTCTGGTTAAAACCACGGACTGTTACTGAAACTCGCACCTGGTTACAGGACTGTGTGCTGACTTCAGACAGCCTCCTACCTTCAGCCTTCCTGAGGAAACAAACCTTCATCTTCAGGTCTTTTGTTGTATTGTTAATGGTCAGGGATTTTGCTGTAGCAGCTGGTATTTTCATTGTGGCTATAAAAAATGCAGAAGTGTCTTCCTTGTATTTATTTTCTTTCAAAAGACAGCTTGTTTGCTAATAAAACTGTCAGAAAAGCTTATCCTTTAAGAGTTTTCTTTACCCTTCTGCTCTCTTAGTGCTTGTATTACCTTCTTTATTCCACTGTGAATGAAGAAGGAACATCCTCCCCTTCATTCCCCACCCCAGATCCACAGCATCTGAAGCCCAAGCTTATCTATGAATATGTCATCAGTCAGTAACTGAAAACAACAGGAGCTATCTTCCCTGAGAGAAAAGAGACTGTTTTTAAATTCTTGATAAGTGTATTTTCAGTATGCAGAAACCTCCAGTGCAAATTCTGGAGTTTAGATACATGGTGCTGCTTTTCTGATTTCAAGTGAACTGGTGAGCAAAAAGCAATAGTCCTTTCATCTCCCAATTTTCAGAAGAAAGAAATTTTCGTATTAGTTCATTATACAGCTATCACTTTAGAATGTAAATTTATACTTCCTCTAGATTTTTTTTTTTAATATATCCCTGTATCCTGCTACAGAAGCATCTGTTCCCCAACAGTGTAGCTTAAAGGACACAAGGAAACACACATTTTTCCGTAGAGATTATGCATCTAGCTCTGATAAAGAAAAAGATGTCGTATAGAGGTGAAAACATGTCATCTCATCCCAGAATACAGTTATGTGGTCATTCTCCGTGAGAAAAAAAAAATCCTTTCTTAGAAAGGTAGAAATACTGAGTTAAGTGAAAAAAGTTGATGCTGAGCTGTTTTATTTCATATGCCTTCCATTTGCCTTTGAAAGAAGTAAAGGAATCATGGGAAAAATCCCTTTACAGTCCACATGACAAAGATAATGACAGATTAAGAAAAATCTAATAAATCCAAGTTACATCTCACGGGCACAATAACCTCCTTGAAGTTTAGTAAAAAAACAGGAGGCATCTTATTTGAAGACCAGTCAATCTATTTCTGTATCCACGCCCCTGGTAACTGAAGTTGCTTCATTTGTTAGCATTGCTCAGTTTTGGCCATGTCTTTTACGTTGTACTTGAAGGGTTTGAAAGTGTAAGAAACGCCAGAGGAGTCGCGTCATCTGCAGGTTTCTTGAGGGGGGGAAAAAAGGTAGCTGATGTTCTCAGTCTGACCGATGAGCAAGTATCTGTTGCACAAGTTCTTAAAACTCCTCTTCAATCTTGATAGTGTTAAAATTCCACAGCTTTCATATTCCTTGGGAAAATTACACTTCCTGTGTTTTGCTACATAGTAGACTCACAGTTTGAAACCTGAGTGAATGGCAACAATGCCCAAGTTTAAATTCTGATAATCCACTTTAAAAAACCCTGCATCTTCTATCATTGCCTTCAACTCCTCCTGAAAAATAATAGTTCCATAATTATAACAACCTGAAGGCCTATAAACCAGCTGCCTGCAAGATTATGTTGGGACCATGTCTTCTGTGTAAGTGAATTCAGAAAAACACTATCTTACCTGAGGGGGGAAACGTCGGATGCTCTCTACGAGATACTGGTAAGACTTCCAGTCACCAGCGATAACCTCACCCAGAACAGGGATAACCTGGAAACTGTATAGATCGTAGAGCCTGCACAGACAAACAGCACATACAGATTAATACAAACAAGTTAAAACCAACCCTCTCCAACACAAGTTGATCTCTGTACCGCTACACTATGGAGTCTGCATCTCATTTTAAAAGCGCACAATGAGGTATCCTCAAAGTGTCTCTGTCTCTTATTCTGGCTGAGTACAAATAAGACAGCCTTGTGACATGGCATAGTGTCACCATGTTCCTACCTGGAAAGAAGAGGGTTGCTGACATGACTAAATTCAAGACAGAGAAATCTTCCTCCTGGTTTCAGCACACGATAGGCCTCCTGAAGTGCCTGAGACAAAGCAGATGTGATAAATTTGTTTATGTAGAACAGCACCTGCCTATTATCATGCCCATGTGAGGGTGACTCAGTGATGAACTGAGGGGAGTGAAGAGAATCCTGATTGGCAATCTCCAATATTTACTTGTGGAGAAGCATCCCAAGAGAAGTGAAAAAAAAAAAACCAACCCCAAACAAACAACAAAACCAAACCATAAAAACTCTTGCTGCTATATAAATAGATTTATACCAGGCTTTGTGTTGAAACTATGTCAGGTTTGCAATTTTTCTTCTTTTTCCCTACCCTTAGTTGATGAATGTTTTCCAGCAGAGGTCTTGTAATTACATACCAAATCCAAAAGGGAGAAGGTGACTCAGCTACAAGAAGTTGAAAATGAAAAGAGGGCATGATAGATTTTTTTTTTTTTTTTATCAAAATAAAAGATTTTACTCAACTGTGAGGCACACCCAAAGGGTCAAAGAAGAAATGATACTGGCTTTTGGATGAGCAACGTGTGAGAAAAAGGAAGAAGGAGAAAACTGTATGCTTTTTCATACAAGAGCACAGTGCAATTGTATTCAAGAACCTCTGCAGGTTGTACATTTGCTTGGCTTCAACTGTCATGTTGCTAAGGGATAAAATATAAACAGCACACTTATGTGATGGGAGCTCTGCAAAAGAATTGGAGGCTTGGATGTGTTTTGTATCAGGTCTCCAGGGAGCCATGCTACCAGACTGCTGTATCCATGAAGGCAATGAGCCTGTGCTTTGGATGGGTGCAGATGAAGCACTGTGAAAAGCCATCCACATTAAGAGAAGTTCAAAGGCATACAGTTCAAGGTAGTTTGGATTCAAATGCTACACCTTCCACAGAAGGAGCATTGCCAAGGTTGTAACGCACTCCTCCAAAACACAGACAACTAGTCCAGCTAGACAGGTGATCTAACCTATGTTCATCCCCAAGACAGCTAGTCATTCTCAAAGGACAGATACTGTTTATAACAAAGGGTACTACATACCCTAATCAAAATCATACTCATTCTTCATGGGAAACTCTACTACCAGGCAGCATAAAGACACTGAGGAGAAGTGAGATGAACAGGTTAGTTCAACGACAGTGGTGGCAGCAGCCAGCTGCTTCCCACTCTCTGCTCTGGAAGCTCTGCTGGCTCAGGCAGGAAAACAGAACAGGGCAGGAAGTGTTGTACCCACAGTGGGTGGGATACAGATCAGGTGCTTCAGGAAGATTTGAAACATGCAGATTGACTGCACTGTGCATGTGTATATTCAGTAACATCATAGGTCTGGAGAAGGTGGGGAATGACTGTAGCATTCAGCCCTTTTTGTGTTAGGAAGAGACTGTGGCTTGCCAAGCTAGAAGGATTGGGTGCAACTAGTATAAACCCAACTTTTTATGACAAAGGTGGGGCATTTAATTGCATTCTTCATTCAAACAAGTTGCACACTGCATGCCACTTATTTTAAATGCTTCCAGAGTAGACAAAGATTTTCGTTTATCCAAAGGAATTCCTCCTTTGCTTCCTCTGCTAGAATAAAAAACCCCAGGTAAATTGTAAGGACCCCATGTCAGGATACACTATAGCAATTTACCAAATCAATACGAGTTACATTTCGGATTCCAAAGGCAATTGTGTAAACATCAAACTTATCGTCATCAAAGGGCAACTCTTCAGCATTCCCAAGCACCCAGGACAAACCTGTAGTAAAAGCCAAGGACACAATATTGAACAGACCTTATATAACTCAGACTGCTCAAGAAAGACTAGAACTTATCTATTCCAGAAATTATTAATAAAGTGATATTTAAAAGTAATACTTTAAGTTTGCATTTTTGTTGGAGGAAAGACACCTTGGTCTATACTCACAAACCTTTGAAGGCCCTGTACTATGCAGCCATCTTTCAAGCAAAGTAGTTAATGTTGCAGATCAGCCAAAACATTCTTCTGCATATACACGCATGTTGTGTTCAGAGTGCCTTAGTCTGCCAAAAAGATTTCACCCAAATCTTGCATTGTAGTGGAAACCAACTGGCTTTCCAGAAACTGGCTGTCATTTGTTTGTAGCAAAGTTGCAAAAAAAAGAATCTCTGCTCAAAGAATAACTATAAACAATGATTAATGTCTTGCCATGCAACAAAGGTCAAAACACTTAAAAAATTTTGCTAGAAAGCTTCCATAGATTGAGGAACATGAAAAGCCACATTCTCTCCATCTGCATTATCAGTATGTGATCCTGTTGCAGCCGTGTTGCTTCCTAAAACCCCAATGGATCAAGGCCTTGTCTATCTGTGGAGCATGGATGTCCAGGTTATTTGTACCAAAAATGAAGACTACTCAATTTAGAGTTAATAGTTCTTAAAGTCACTGGTTTTGGTGACTCAAATGCAAAACAAAAATCTAATAGAAAAAAATCAGGAGCCTTATGCAGAGATCAGCAGTTTCAAAGGGCAGTATGCTAGAAAGAGACATGGAGGAGAGCAAAACACAACAGAAAACAACAGTTGTTGCTAGGACACATTCAGAATTCATTTTTACAAAATATATATATTTATAGTTGTAGAAAGTATTGTATGCAAAGCAGCATGCAACATTATTAAAGCAGCAATTATTAGTGTTTAAACCTAGAGAGTTTGAAAAGACACCTAAGAAGTGAGCATCAAGGACAAGATTTGAGCAACAGAAAAATTGTCCCTCAGAATAGACAGTGGTAAAATCACAGGCCAGGAGTTTTTTAAGTGGCTACATAAGAGGAGCTGTCAGTGTCCCACAAGAGGAACTGGGACACGTGTAGTGCAGCCTACAACTCCTGCTGGCCAAAATGCACAGTCAGCAATTGTGCAACCGCGTTTCTTGTCAGCATGCACAGCTCCCACTGTTGGTGAATGTACATTGGAAAATAGTGAAAGAAACCTCTGCCCCTTACAATTTTAAGAAAAACAAATTTTGGACCTCGGACAATCAACAGATAAGCAAACTCAGAAATGATATTACTACAACAGGGAGGCATTGAATGAAAAACAGCAGGTAGGATATATTAAAATGGATATGTGCTGAACAAGGGAATAAAAAAAAAGTAAGAAGTCAGAATCATGCCACAGTGGTGCATAGGGCAGCCCAGGCAACAAGGCAACAGGTGGGCTTCTACAGCTACAATGTACAGAAGAAGAAAATGAAAAAACATGAATATTCATTGTGAAAATTTGGTACATCACAAAAATACCTAAAAAGTCCAGCAAATTAAACAAAGTGCTTTATTTATAGTAGCTAGGAGGCAGCATCAAGCTTTACTTCAGGTCCTAAGCTACAGTGATAAAGCTTTTATATTTACAATGTTGGTACAGTTCAGGTGTTCGCAAACTATGATGCACAAAACAGCTCTGGACAGGCTGGCAAGCTGCTGAGATAAGCACAGTGCAAGCAGTCTGCCAGAGCTGGAAGAACCAATGCTTTCACAATTAGTTTGCTTTTCAAAGAAAAGGCAGAGGGAGGCAGGCAGACAACAGCCTGGGGTAACCCACCAGTAGGGAGCAAAAGCAGCTGAGAGAACCTATGCCAGCAGCTTATCTTTCATCCCCTTTGTGCTACTGAGCTGTTCCTGTATGTTCTTCAGCCCACACAATTTGCCGGCTGAAGATTTGAATGGCGGTGTGGAAGCAGGATGCAGAGACATGCAAGAGATCTCATAACACATATGCAGGGGCTGCCCAGGGCATACCTAATGGTGGTACCCAGGCAAACGAAGTTTGGGAACCTCCTGGTATACTTTACATTGCTAAAATATTTACCAAATATCTGTAAATGAAGAGAGGATAAACAACTATCATACAAACACTGAGCCACAAGCAGGACTTCTTTCTCTATGTCTTACTTCTTAAAATCAGGCTTTTCAATCAGGATTGGCATGGTCCCCAACAAATTCTAGATATCAGTGAATTAATCCATTGACCTGCAAACTAACATTTATTATAATTCAGTTTCTCTGAGTATTATTAATATATGCTCTAACTGTGGAAAGTTTTATAGGTTCACAAAATCCTTTAGTGCTTGCATTTTTTATTTGCTGCCTTGATTCTTCAAATACCCATTATAAGATCTTTAGTGTAATAATTCTAGGGCTGAGCTCTTTTGCATTATCTGCCGTAGTAAAGTCAGATTTCTTAGCACAGATATAAACAGCAGGTTTAGATTATTTAAACAATTTTGAAGGATAGCTGGGAAGGATAGCTGGGTATCAGACCTCATGGACACTTCCATGTATGTATTTCTGAAAGTTCAAGTATTATTCAAGATGATCGCTGCACATCTGAACAACATACACATACATGCTCACTGAAAAAGTAACTTAACGTTGGCAAATATGCAAGCACAGCTATAGAATACACCATGGCTATATAATCTTTATTGTAATCCTGAAACAGTGATTACTTGATGGCTATCATGCATCAAATTCTTGCGATCAGGTATGCTACTGAAATGGTACAACGAATGACTTACCTTCGGAATAGCCAAGATCCTGTGCTTTCTGCTTTCCAACTTTTAACATTTCTTTGTTAATGTCACAGACCACCACTTGGGAATCCCCTAGTGACTTAAATTTGTCTTCCTGGTAACTCTCAGAAATTTCCTGCCACGATAAATTCTGATGGTGCCTAAGCTTCCGCTGCAGCTGGCGTTCTCGTACAGAGCGAACATAATTAATAAATCGAAAGGCAATATCACCTGCATTTGTTTTAAAAGAAAGATACATGTCTTGAATGTTTTCTGACTCCAGGAAATTGGAACATAAGACTTTGAACATCAAACTGAGTTTTTGTTTGGGTTTTTTAATATATATTTATAAAAATAAAAACCACACACAGAGTATAGAGAAACATAGATAGAGAGTGTGTGTGTGTATATATATGTAAAAATATATAAAGGGAACATATTAAAAGCAAAGAGTCTATGACTTCCTAAAAAAGAAAACAGTTTTCCATATCTCATAACATGGCAGTACTGTAACACACTTTCAGAGCCTTGGAGCAAGATATTTCAAAATACAAAGAAGTTAGCTCTCAACCCCTCTCTGTGAAAATCAAGTAGATGCTTCACTAGTTTTAAAGACAGAGAACTGGGGGGTGAGGGTGTGAAACCTAGGCAACATGAGTCTGAGCAGACTCAAACAGATCAAAAGCAGTGTGGCATTGTCACATGTAACTCACCAAAATTATTTACCTGTTCCTCCAGCAACATCAAGAAGAAGTGTTCCTGGGGAAGGGTTCATTTTATGCATGAGGATATCCTTCCACACTCGATGAATCCCTAGAGTCATTGAATCATTCATTATATCATATTTCTTGGCCACACTTTCAAAGACCTGGTAAACTGCAAAGAAAGGACATGATGAGATGCAATTTACTTTAAAATGCTCCTGTGGAAGTAAAATGTGTCCTTTATTGCCTCGTAGAGGTCTGCCACCATGTGGAACTGAAAAAGACAACCTGAAAAATCCTTCCAAAAAATACCATCGAATCCTACTGAGCCTGCTGCCTGCCAAACACCTCTTTGGAGCAACACAATTTCTTCCCGTAATCCCTCCGGAGCTGAGGGGAAGATCGAGCTGGCATAACACTGACACTATTCACCGACACTCTCGGTAACGTCTCAAACCGACGGCCCGGCTCCAAAGGCATCTTCAGCACTACTTCAGCCCCACAGCCAATGCTCGCCGGCTACCCGGGCGCCCCGTTAGCTTCCAGCCCGCCCTCCCCCGGGCGCAGCACGGCTCCACAGCGGACCCCGCCGCC